ATAAGTCGGAATCTACAAATCGTGTATTGACAGTCGAGTAACGTATAAAGAAACTCAATTAGTGTAGTGCGTCGAAATATGATGAGGCGGTGGTAATTAGAATTATCATGTCCTTAATTCCTCACAAAAGAATAGAGCACCAGATCAAGCCAAGTTTTGACCTTTTATCCACTATTATTTCTCTGCTGTTACTGGTTCATGGGTGCGTTCCTCTCCAAATAAATATTTGACTTGCAGATATAGTAGTATCCCTAATTAGCGTACAGTTATAAAATTCAAATCCAGTTGAGAAAGCTCATTTTAGACTGCAAACTTAATTGTAAAAAGTGTTAAATGTCTCCCCCATACTATTACGAAATACCGCAAAGCTTCCCCCTATACGGTTAGATTTATGGAACTTGTTAGGAAAGTTCACTAAATGTCACGGTAACATCTGACATCCCTATCTGTTTCTAGCATCTGAAACGTTGAATGTTTGGCTTTTAGTGAGGTGCCGCGCAAACTGTAGTTCTAGCTCCGCCCATACCGTTCGTCCAGTGGAAGAAAGCGGGCTTAGTTTTAACGTCCATTGCGCAGAATAGTCCGTCTACCATACAATTTTCATTACTCCATATTTTTCTCACCAGTCAACTTAATGTTCGCAGATAGAGGTGGGACACGTAACTTGGTACAAAGGACCCTAGTTCCAAATAGGGCTGTTGACTAAGACGGTACCTTTAGTCACCAGTACTTACTACCTTGGAAAACTCGTCGACAGTCCATATAAGTAAACAGAAAAACTTCGGAATGCGGCGAGGGAAACCATTCTAAATTGCATAGCATGACGCAAGATAATCTGAATCGCAACAGGCGGAACAAGTCACTCAAGGTAATTGATCATAAAATTGTCTTGGATCTTGCTGCCGTCAAATCTCGTGAGCATCCTTTGGTTGCTACTGCTACCTGCTGTCCTGATAGCATTTTACTTAAGACTTACTCTTCTTCAAAAGAATGATGAGTTCAATTCAGTTTCTATCCGGCTTGGCCATCTAAAATATAATTAAAAGTAAAATGACTCTTTCCGGGTTTTCTTATCGCAAATGTGGGCTACAAATTCTTGAGAGAACTGGACCTTTGAAGAAAGAAGTTGAGAAAGGCTTCAAAGTAGCATTCACGATAGTTTTATAAAGGTCCGAACCAATAGCCAGCCGCCAGACAGACTTTAGCCGCGGTAGAGAGGAACCTAGCTAACCAAACTCAACTTTTGCCTATGGATTACACAACTTAGTCGGCACTGCAAAGTGGCTAACCA